GAGCAAACTCTTACCCAAGTGTCAATCCGTTACGACTGCGTCACCGCAGGGTACGGTTCCGTGCATATCCGTAGTCGGTTGGGGACATATGACCTAGTGTTAGCTTACTTTTGGTGCGTCTGATCTTCTGATGCGTGCAAATGAGCGTGATTTCGACGGGGTCCTTTTACACTATAGGCAGGCATGCCAGCGCAACCATGCAGTCTGTCAGGGGCAGATCTAGCTTTCAGGAGAGGGGACACAATGTGGACGGCTATAGATTGCAGGTGTCATGTATATATTAAATATTTACTAGGCAACACACAGAATGGAGGAGCCAAGCACCGTACACATTACAGTAAAGCTTGGAATCAATCGAGTGCTCCCTGTCACTGTACCATGCAACTGGAATGTAGGTCAGCTAAAGGAATTACTACACGAACAGTTGGATCTTGATCAACCTAAAAGTTTGCCTTTGTCGCAAATTAAAATTCTTTTTGCTGGCCGGGAACTATCAGATGAGTTTATTTTCAAGGTAAAGTACAAAGTATTAGTATTCCATGTGGACAAACAATACGTAAAGTAACGAACAAACGTAAAGCATTTAAAAAAAATTAGGTGGATATATGTTATTATTATATAAATTAGAGACAACATTCAGCATTTTCTATTACCTATGTGGTTATCATTATTCATAATTTCTACTGCATGCAATGTATAGGACAGCGACTTCGGGCAACATACCGTGGTCAATGCAGTTTATAGACCCATAACTCAGAACATCATGTCTACTGTGGAAGAACCACACTGGTTGCTCACGTCCTCAGAAGATCGTTATAGCTCATTAGTCAGCTCCAGTACAGCTGCAGGGCAATCAGGTGAGTGCCTAATTAGGGTAATTATATTGAAAACTCACCTTGCCATATTTGGAGCGATAGTGCATGACAATAGAGTATACGTTAATAATATACAGTTAATTGCTAATAACTGCTAACGATCATTATAGCAGCAATTAATCAATATTAACGGTCACTCGTATATGTCAGCTATGATCAAGACCTAAGGAATAAAAGTCTCTTTATATACTATTGATTATACGATGCCATTCGCAGACCATGGAGCACGAAAGTTGTTTTATGTGTACTGTAAAGAGCCGTCTTGTCGTCGCATCCAGCCAGGCAAACTGAGAGTGCGATGTCGGACCTGTGGTGAGGCAACGTTAAGCATTTCTAAGGTAACTATAGCTATAGTTAATTAGGTCAGTAAGGGAGCAGGTTGCTTGCATCTCTCTCTAGATCTGTTTGGGGCTAATACAGGGAGAGAGCAGTTGGTAATTATTGCTTCATCAGACTCTAAGGAACGTTTAGATTTATCATTCCCTTGGTTAGCTCAGTTGTATATCTAGCATTTTGTAAAAACAGTTACTACTCCTAGGCCTCATCCGGACATTATCACATCTCCTGCATGCATTCTTCTTGTTCCCTGATGTCAAAGCTAGATTGTTCACATTTCGCACAGGAGCCAAATTGCTGGGATGATGTTTTGACACCTGGCAGAATAGCGGGCATTTGCCACCGGGAAGGGTGTGACGGCACAGTGGCTGTAAGTTCTATATACTAAGCGATGAACTATTTCTCGGATATGTATATTAACCTATAATGATTGATATTTCGATTTATAAATTTCGTCACTGACATCTCGCGAACTTTTATGTCACAGGAATTTTACTTCAAATGCAGTGTGCACGCGTCCGTGAATGAAAGAGAGTCGATGGTCGTTCTTCCTCTCATTCGACCCAACACACTGAATATTCCATGTCTAGCATGTACTGATACCAGGTAATACTGAATGTTTCACAATGATTTTACAACCACTCGGTTCATGGAAATGTAGTTTGTCATGCTCCCTAATAGCCATGCAAGCTATGTTTTATATACCGATTTAGATAGATAGACGTGCTAAGTCCAATGTTTGAAATAATAACTTGTCCCCCAGTCTGATAATTTTTTAGCAGGACTGGCTCAGTTTTATGGATTTTACTATAGGTAATATAGTAGAACTAAAAACCCGGGGGGGTTACTATATATGCCGGTATTACCCCAGGTGCGTTCCAAATTTTGCGGGTTAGGGGGGTGTTTTCCAACTTCTAAAGCGGGCCCGCGCGGGAGCAAATAGGCCCCCCTTTGCAAAGCTAATCTCGCAATAAGCCCTCGGGATCGTTCAATTCAAGCACTGCGCCCGGAGTAGGCCCCCCTTACGGGTCCCCTCCATTCCCTCAACTCTTTGCCCTCCACTTGTCTGCAAGACCTCACAATAGGGGGTAGGGTGCGGGTAGGACTCTTTCATTGTGCATGCAATAGGGGGTGGGATATTTTTATTGTGTATGCAATAGGGGGTGGTAGTCTTCAATTGCGTCTGCAATAGGGGGTAGGGTTTTCCAATGTGCAGTTCGCACTAGGGGGCCTATTATTTTTAGTGAGAACACACATGGGGTAATACCGGCTTATATAGTGACCCCCCC